AAATAAACATTTATAAATATGAATGGAAGGTTAAATACAATATGAGCTCCAAGATATAAAAGATTCTCCTTCATTCTGGATAAATTATATTTCTGACTCTTGAGAGAACAGCAGTTTAGAGTTCTACAAAACCAGGCCAATATATTTTCAACTCACAGAAAACCCTATTTGTTGAGTAAGCAAATTTATTTTGCATGATAATTCTCCTACTTCAGGAGAAGGAAATTTGTCTAAATAAAATCCTCCTTCCTGTCTACCACCAACAAAAACCTAACTTGGTAGCAACTAGTCTTCCACTGGAGCACTGTAGGAAACTCTAAGAGGTAATTTCTCCTACTTTTTACAAACTACTAAGCAAGAAGAGACACAGTTTCTAAATTGTGGGTTTGAGTCATGCAAACACGTGAATGTTTTCCAGGAAAATTAGAATACAAAACTCCAAAGGCAAAAATGAATTATTTGCAATATACTAAGTAAATTTCCATATACATAATTCCGTTCAGTAAATATTACTTAGAATTTTTTTGTCACCCTATACAGTCACCTAAAAATACCTGGTTATAATAAATCTATGTTTTTAAATACATCCATAGTAAACTCAATTAGTTATAATATGAGAAAATCCTTAAGCTATTCTTTAAAGTATGAAGGAACTAAAATGTTGGGGCTGGAGAGATGGCTCAGATGTTAAGAACACTGGTTGCTCTTCCAGAGGACCTAAGCTCAGTTCCCAATACCTACACGCTGACTAACAATGATCTGCAACACCAGTTCCAGAGAATCTGACTCCTTCTTCTGGCCTCCACAGGCATTGCACACAAGGGTGCACTTACATACATGCAGGCAAAACACACACACACAAAAATCAATTTAGAATCGCAAACACAATGTGATAGGCATTGTGTGAGAAACTAGACCTCCTCATCACAGATGAATCTTCCTTTGTTAGAGAATTTTGAAGGTATTTTAATACAGGATGCTTTTCTTATCATGTGTGGCATATTTTGTAAAATAGAAACTTTATTTTTGCTTAGTAATAGTACCTTTGCCATAGTAGTAAATTATCAAACAATTACCAAAAGTTTCTTATGAATCAAATACCTAGACAGAACTGGCAAAAGCAAATGAGGTGATAGAAGTGCTTCCTGACTTCAGGGAATACACATGCAATTTACATCTAACATGATATACATAGAAAACAAGATATCACATATATCTTACAGTGAGCTGGAAGAACCATCAGTCATTACCCTGATCATTCCTTTTGGAAACAAGAACACTGGTATACAGAGAGGAGAAGTGATTTGCTACAAATCACAGAGAAGAGAGTAGGGTTTAAAGGAATGTAAAGGAATCCAGATCCTAAAACTGTCTAAGTTAGTAGCATTTAAATATATCTCATTGTGACCCACAGTAAGCAATGGATTGCACACACATTTAAGATGCACCTTGTAGTAAGTATAGCACTGAAACAGAAATGCTGCTGCCTAATATGCAGTGACACAGTGCTAAAGCTGCTTGAACCTTAAGCATTGCAGTTTCCAAGATGCTAAAACTCAGGGGGCAGGTGATCTTAAAGCAATTTTATGCTGAATACTCTATAACTAAAAATTTCTGTCTTATTCTATTTGTTTTTTAAAATGGTGTTCTGGGTCCACTAAATTAATTTTACCATCCACTAATGAGCTGACCTGATCTAAACACTAATCTAAATCCTGTGTCACAGATAATTAGAAAGCTTGTGAACATATACAACCAAGGTGCTAATTGTTGGATTTGATAGCAGCAGAAGAAGAAAAGGAACAATTTCATGTGGACAGAAGCCACCTGGCAAACTCTCAAATTAGAAAAGAAGAGCTTGACCCAGCAAGCCAGAGTTATACCTGGTGAGATAAAGGAGGGGAGGGAAATGGACAAGAAAGTACATTTGGGGATTAAACTTCTCAAATGTAAATATAAAAATGCATTTCTTTCAAAAGAAAATATAACCATTAATTTTATTAAAAGGCCATAGAAAGACACCACTTTTAATAATAAAGTCTCAATAATTTAAAAAATGAAAACAGAATTTCATACCTTGCCTACAAAAAATAGGCAACTTGAAAAGATTATAGTTGCCAAAGAATGAGAATGTATAAAAGTAACTTAGGTGAAACCCAATATAATACTTGTTTTGCTTTATTTCCTCTATAGGAATTCAAAAGTGCTCAAATGTGACAGTGAGATGGAATTAAAGCAACTGAATGGGCATTCCCTCTCCCCCAATTTTTATGTTTCTCTTAGATTCCAGGTTAATGGAAAGAAAAAGAAAAGAAAAGAAAAGAAAAGAAAAGAAAAGAAAATTGGAATCTCTCTTGCTGTCCTCTGTGCGTTAAACAAAACAAAATACAACACGGCAAAACACCAAGAATATAATGAGATTCCCAGTATAAAATTAGTTGACCGAAATCCTCAGTAACTTTTGCCTAACCCCAGAATTTCAGCTCTACTCCACACACACAAACAAACACACACACACGTCCATTTTGTATACAATATGTAATACGTGCACATAGAAGTGAAAATATGTGATCACATTAAAAAAAAAATGTGCCAACCTGGCAGTTAGGAAATGTCAGTGTAAACGTTAGTAGGTGAACTTTCCGTCCCTTTGATGAAGATACTACCTTTCAGCCAAGCCCTGACAGAAAACCTTTGGTGCTTGTTGGACCCCCTCCTTCAACAGTCGGTGGCTGAGCTCCATCTGGAGGCATGGGGGGGGGTCTCTTCCTCTCCATCAGAGCTAAGCGTTCCCAGACCCAACATCAGCCCTGGGCTCCTGCAGAGCACTCAACTTGCAGCAAAGAGTCCCAACTCTGCAAAGGGCAGCTGGAAATGGATTTAAAATGGCAACGCCGACCAATCAGCACCGTCGCGCCCAAGCAGATATTTACACGCGCCTCAAGCACAGAAGCTGGCAGAGCCTAGCTCCCCAGCTCAGGGCTGCAAAGGAGACTTTTTATTCCACGGTGGTCTGTATCTTTGAAAGGAAAATTCTTCCTTGGGTGAAAGTTTTTATTTTGGAATCAGTCCAAAATAATTTTGGGTGTGATGTGTGAAAATCTGAATCTCTCTCTCTCTCTCTCTCTCTCTCTCTCTCTCTCTCTCTTTCTCTCTCTCTCCAGAGTTTTGTGTTAATCAAAGATGAAAAAACGGTATATTTAAAAATGTACTCCACCCTTTAAAAACTGACTGTGGCCATGATGGTGTTCACATAACTCAGAAACAGCCCAGACTATAAAATTAGGACTTGGCAGAAAGGAATTCTGGAGAAGGTTAAATGAAAGTAAATCGAAAGGAGTGTTAGGCGTCTGGTCTAGTTGTGGGTGAGCAATCAATGTAGTCCTCTACATTCCGTGGTCATCCGAACCCGAGTGTGTAGCTTCTATAGTCTTTCCCGGAGGGGGGTTAAAAGCTCTTGGCGCGCTCTGTGTGCGTGTATACACAGTTTGCAAGTGTGCATGTATTGGAGAATGTGCTTGCTCACCGATAAGCCTGGATGGATGTGTAAGCGCACGCGTGTTTACTAGTGGAATACACGTGTGAGAGGGCGCGTGCAACTGCGTATAAGTGTATTTGCGGTTATACATGTGGACGCGTGTATCTTTCTGCATACTGTGTTTGTGCGCGTCTGCCCACACTCTGCGGTGAGGACATCCGGAGGCGGAGCCCTGCTGTCAGGGTTCGAGCTCAGACCCCTCGGCAGCCCTTTCCCATTCAATGAAGTAGAAAGCCGCGGTGGGCGCTGCTGGACGCTTCTGGCAACTTTCTGGCTCTGCTCTGGGGAGGCGCAGGTAGAGGCCAAACCGGGAAACGTGGCTCCGGGGCAGTGCTTTTCCGCGCCTTCCTAGGACTACTGACGGGGATTGGGGGCGGAGGGGTAACCTCGGGCGGCTGGAGGGGTGAAGCCCGCGGCGAGCTGGCTGGGGATCCTAGGCCTGTCCCTTTAACCCCGCCGCCGAGTGAGAGCACGTGAGCACGGCTCCGGGTGGCACCCAGGCGCCGTCGCCGCCTAGGCAGTTGTATTTCGAACACAGCCTCTGGCCGGCGGCCAGGCGCCTAGGCTCGGCGGTCCGCCGGGCCTCCCTTCTCCTACTTGTCCTGCGCAGCCCCCTCCCCTTTATCCGCCCACGATCAGAGGTGGGCACTCCCCCATCCCAGGCACACACACACACACACACACACACACACACACACACACACACACGCACACACACACACATCCCACTTGAATCCCGGGCAGGAACTCAAAAAACTTCCAGCCCCGGTAGCGCGCGCTTGCTGCAGAACGCAGCGGCTAGCAGCCCATCCCTCCCCGACTCTGCTGTGCCAACGCCGCCTACTCCGACACCCGAGGAGGCGCGGTGCCACCCACTGCTCTGTGCCTTGCTTCAGCTGGGCACCCGATCCGGACAGAATCTCTCTCTCTCTCTCTCTCTCTCTCTCTCTCTCTCTCTCTCTCAGGAATTCTTTCCCCGCCTAACACAAGGCGACACAATTCCAAATCTCTTCCCTTTCCAAACCCGTGCCGAAGCGTTCTCAGTGCCCTCAACTCCGGATCCTGAGCGCACAGAGGAGCCCTCTCCAACCTGAACCCTCTCCTCTTCCCGCCTTGGTTCCCGCCTCCTCTCTCTACCTCCATCTCCACCTCCGCCACCCACCGCACCGCCGCCACCGGCAGCGCCTCCTTCTCTCCTCCTCCTCGTCCTCGTCCTCGTCCTCCCCACCTCCTCCTAGTCCTCCTAGTCCTCATCCTCCTCCTCCTCCCCGTCCTCCTCGTTCTCCTCCTCGTCCTCCTCCTCCTCCCCGTCCTCTTCGTCCTCCTCCTCCTCGTCGTCGTCCTCCTCCTCCTCCTCGTCGTCGTCGTCGTCGTCGTCGTCCTCCTCCTCCTCCTCCTCCTCCTCCTCCTCCTCCTCCTCCGTCTCCTGCTCCTCCTCCGTCTCCTGCTCCTAAAATCCTCCTCCTCCTCTCTCCTCTCCTCTCCTCCTCTCTCCTCTCCTCTCCTCTCCTCTTCTCTTCTCTTCTCTTCTCTCTCTTTGGCAGCCGCTGGACGTCCGGTGTGGATGGTGGCAGCGGCGTCAGTCTAAACAGCAGCAGCAGCCGTCGCCTCACGCTCTCTCTCCGTGCCCGGGTCAGCCTCTCCAGTTCTCTTCATCCATTCTCCTGAAAGGTGCAGGGCGGATTCGGGGCGGCCGAGGCGCAGCGGCAGCACCAGCTGTAGCGGCGGGAGGCAGGATGAGCGCACGCGGTGAAGGCGCCGGGCAGCCGTCCACTTCAGCCCAGGGACAACCTGCAGTCCCCGCGCCCCAGAAGCGAGGACGCGGCCGACCCAGGAAGCAGCAGCAAGTCAGTACGCCGGCAGGGAGCTGGCACTTAGCCCACTCCAGATGCCTCTGCCCCGGCCCCGCGACTGCGCGGGGCAACCCATGCGCGGGAGCGCCGCGGCGATCGCCGCACGCTGCGAGCCAGTCCGTGTGTGGGTGGGCGGGAAAGCTTGTCCCCGCGAGTGCGCGGCGCAGTCCCGGGGCGCTCGGGGAGGTGGGGGACCGCCGGCTGCTGCTACGACAAGGCGGGAGGTGGGGTCGCGCCCGGCTAGTCCTCGGACTTTCGCTATTGTGCGCAGCCGGGAGTGGCGCGGTACGGCCGGGGGACTGGAAGCCGCTGGGGTCCCCCAAACCCAAAGGATCGCCAGTGCTTGGGCAGCCGCTCTTGCAGCTGTGCGGGGAGCGAGGTCACCCGCTGGGGATGGGGACGTTCGGACGGGTCGAGACTCCTGAGTCCCTGAGACCCGCGGCTCTTTCTCCCGCCTCTCCCTGCTGCTTGCCGGTTGGAGGTTGGCGCACCGCAGCCGCCTCTCCCGTGCCCTCCCCAAGCTCCATGGCCCAAGGCTCGCGCCTTCGCGACAAAGAACGCGTGGGGACTCGGCTGCCCTGTGCTTTTACCGGATCTTTAAATGCCGTGATGCAGGCGCCAGAGCTAACCCGGAAAAGGGTTCCGGGGGATCCCAGGCTCCCGCGGGACCCGGTTTACACGCTTCGCCTGGGAGCTTTGGAAGGAGTGTCCGAGAGACTGCACGGTAGCTAGGGTCATTTCCCCACCAGGAGTCCCGTACTCCTTTGGCTCCAGGGCCAGCGGCTGGGGGCCGAGAGGGGACGATCGAGGGGCGCCCAGGACCCCGCGGAGTGGAGGGTTTTGTCTGCGGATGCAACCAATTAAGTGTGCAGCCAGCCCTTGCAGAGCTGAGCGCTGCGCCCTGGGCGGGGGGTTGGGGGGGTTCGGTGCAATTTCCAAGCCTAGGCGGGCAGGCTTAGAGCTAGACGCTGCTATTGAGAACATTTAAAACTCCACTTCCTCGGCTTTTAAAACTTCTCATTCGTTCCTTTGCCTTAAATCGCTTCCCTTATAGCAAATAGGACGATTAGAAAATTATCCTAGAGTCCCAAGTTGCCCCCGAGAGTGAGGTGGAAAATAAAGCAATGTTTGCTTGCCAGTGCATTTTAGAAAAACGAGGGGTGTACCTTTTTGAAATCACCAAAGGAAACAAGCCAATCTGGAGGCCTCCAAGTTTTCCCGCTCTGCTCCGGCGACACTTTACACAGCACTGGATCCTGTTTTACACCTCCCAGGAAGTCTCTGCGCCCCCCCCCCCCTTACCACCAGCCACAGCTTTCCCTAATTCTAATCGCACCCCTACCCCAACTTAAAAAAACAAACCAAACAAACAAACAAACAAACAAAAAGAACAAAAAACAACAGACTGAAAGAAAATGCGGCTCCCGGGTTCTGGAGGTGGTTGGAGGTTTTTACCTTTGCGTTAAGGCAGGGTTCACAAAGAAAGGAAAATGTGTTTCGGATGTGTTTGCTCTGGAAGAGCCACTGGCGCCTCTAAGAAACTCCCCATGTTCTCTAATTAGGATGCGAACTTCTATTGATAACTTTCATGAGTTTTAATTAGTCTCATTCAGTCATCCAATCTGAATGAAATGCTAATAGATGATTCAGGGGTTACATATTTAGGGTCTGGAATAGTAATCATCCCAATTTCCTAACCGCTTGAGTATTGGCTGCTTGGCACAGGAGCCATTTAAAGCTTGCGTACCTGGTGGTTGTTTAAATTTGTTCCTCCCAGATTCTTCCATTCTTCTGCCCATTTCCCCTCTTTTAAAGTTTTTTTTTTCCCAGTCCACACCCTACCCCAAGAGTTTTCTTCAAAAGAAAGTTTTAAAGGAAATATGTTTATTTTTGAAAAAATAATAATTAAATTTCGACCGGAGACCATGCTTGTCTCTCCAAAAAGGAAGTTGAAAATTGAAGCAATTATCTAGATAATTCAAGCAAAACCTCCCACCTCAGATTTACTACAAACTTGGAACTTTTAGACGGCATGGAGTTATTCTGAGATGAAAAGCCTTGCCAATCATTCCAGTAATTCACTCAGAATATTGGGACCCTAAACTTAGAATGCAGCTATCTAAAAATGATTACAAGCCATCTTTTCAGTCTGTGTGTCTTTTCAATATGTCTGTGATGTTGGCTTCCATTTCTGTGGTTTGAAATACTATAAGAATTGGTAGTGGTAAGTCAATATTAAATGCTTGTTTCTGTGAATCACCAAATGCATAGCCATGTAAATTCTGTTCCTTAAAACTGTATGAACTTCTGTGCAGAACCTGCAACTTCTTCAGGCTTTGCTATCATTTTGATTTTGAAATAGAATCTAGTTTTCACATGAAAAGTAGTTTCCTCATTGAACACTAGGATTAAAACTCTGGCTATTTTCTCTGTGGACTCTGCACCATCACCCGTCTATGAGTGAACTGCTCCAGCAGCTCTGTTGAGCAGCATGTTCACAAAATACAGCCTAAGAGTTGGGGTCAGTTTCTTTCAGACCATCTTGCCACAACAGCTTTTTTCCCTCCCACAATTAGGAGACAACCTGTGAGCCCTCTCCTAAGAGACCCAGGGGAAGACCTAAAGGCAGCAAAAACAAGAGTCCCTCCAAAGCAGCTCAAAAGGTGAGAATTTTCACGTCAAGCTCTGCTAACTTTCTCAAGGACCTCCCTGTAATTTTCCCATTCTAAATCCATACCTGTGGCAGTGTCTCAGCTGAGTAACCCAAGACAGGGCTTCTCCATTTAACATTACTTAGATGGAAGTTAACCTTTTTTCTAAGTTGATACTTAGCTTAAAAGGGTTCATAATGATACAGTAATTTTAGAAAAAGCCAACAAACGGTGTGAACCTTAAATTGGGGGTGAAAAGTGATATAATTAATATTTGTGCCCATTGTGAAATAGTTCAAAACAAATCAGAGCTATAGATTCTGTCTGGTGATAAAGTTCCTACAGTTTCATATAAAAATAATAGAGATTAATTTCCTCTGCACTTATTTGCATGATGAATACAAACTCCTATTAAACTTAAGTACTTTTCCAAATAGATAATAAAAAATAAATCCAATTATGGGATACTGGAAAAATGTCATGAACTTTATTGCTTTAAATGTAGTGATAACGTGTACTGTTTTATAATAAACCTGCAAGATAGTGTGTCATAGCCACAAAAATATCCTTTCCAAAAAGTATTATGCTCATTGGACAATGAAAAGTTTTTAAAACAAGCGTTTGTCTCATTTAATACATATTTTGGGGCATAATACAACCCAGTCAAGTTTAACATTCAGCGCTGTTAAGAAACTTTTTTAAGCAAAATTTAAAGTGCAGTTTAAAATCTCTTCATGTGTGTATTTGCAAACAGGAAATATCTCAGAGTAAATGCCTGTATAGAAGTGATGAATATAAGTCACTTTTTTGTCTTATAAATAAATTGGAAATCGTTTACATTTTATTTTGTAGGTTTATGTTATAGTTGAAAACACAGGTTCAAAACTTAGAAGTAAATTTCCATGTACCTCTTTAACAGATTTGAATGGATAGCATTTGTGTAAAATGGTTCTATGTTCATCTTCTGGGGATTAATGTTTTGTGTGTATTTTTCTGTAATGGTGACCACATTCTATGTGATGGCTTTCAGTGGGATGCCCTGTCATGGATACTAGTGATATACAAAAGCTACTTAGGAAGTAACTATTTGGCTGTTTTATTTCAACAGTTGATAGAGCAGATTTCTCTACTACTTAAACTTAACTGCATATTAGTTTAGATTGTTGATTCATATTTAATCAATAAACCTTCAAGCATCTCTAAATAACCTTATTATTTAAATGACTATATAATCTGGTATTCTTAATATGAGTACTTTCTGTTTGTTCCATTTTACCAGTTCATAAATGTACTAAGAAGGGACTAACTTTAACAAAGAGTTATTCTGTGTTACAGAAATGTGGAATTTACTTAACTTTGCTCTCAGGAGATAGCAAAGGGATATCTTGTTAGGTGCTAGCAGACATTTAAACTATGACACAATTGCTCTGAAAAGACATAATATTTTTAAAGAAATCTTTAAAGCTAATCATAAATAATTGGAAATTTATTTTGAATAGGTTAGAAATGGTTTACCTTGAGCTAAGAGTATCTTTATAGACAAAAGGGAAGTTGAGACTTGTACCTAATTTACCATATAAAACAAAACAACAACAAAAAGCTTATCCCTTTCCATATACTGTTTGGTTTGCAGTGCCTTTCTGTCATAAGCATCTACAGATGACCCTACTTGGCTGTTTATCTTCCTGCTAATTCTTGTGTATGCATATACTGGTATAACTTCCAAAACACAAGTAGCCCCCCCCAACGAAGACCTCTCTGCTGAAATCTTTCATTCTTCCAGCCATAATTATTTCATATAATTCTGTTTAAAAATTTCCTCTTCTAGTAAAAAGAATGAATACATTTGCCCATAGCATAACTGTTATTTTTCTTCAGTTTTGTAAGTTACATCTCATTTGGGGAAGGTAATACTTTGAAAACTAATGGGGACACTGATAAATCATTCATGGCATGTATAAACTTGTGTTTTCATTTTCAAATCAGTTTTTATTGAGTATGGTCTTTGCCCTAAATGCACATGATTATCAACTATATATTATATTCTAACAAAGCATATATGCTCATTTGATTTTGAAATGCAAATCTTCTTACAAAGAGTTGTGTTGTTCATAACGTGCAAGATGAGAATTCCTTACTAGACTGAGCTGAAGAGAAATGACGTTTCTTCAGTGATTAATAAACTGGGTGTGTTTCTGCACTGTGGAACTCATCACAATGAAAAAAAAAAAGCTGGTAAGTACATGCTAGAAACAAAATCTAAATTCAGAGGAGATGCAGTTACACCAGAGTCCTGATGATGCTATGTGTTTAAAATCTCTTGCTGCTTTGAGCTTCTTTACTAAGTTTATGCTTGGACTTAGCACCTGGCCTTGGGGCATTTGAAAACAAAACTGCTCCTTAGGAAATTAACAGTGTGAAATTTGACAATGCATGTAACTACTAACTTAACCTTTAATTTCAGACTACATTCAATAGAAAATTGATTCATGTATTATGCAAAAGAAAAAATTTATAGAAAAATTTAATTCCATGGATAACCATTGTGGGTCAATTCTAGTCATTCCAGAGAACTCCTCCAATCCAAGTCTTACCTTAATAAAAAGAAATCAAAAGTTAATGTTTTCTGTAGTAAATAATTTATCTGTTGTGTTTTGGTCTCCTCTCGTGGTTGGGTAGAAATACTTTTTTTTTCACACTTCTGATGTTTGGAGAGAGAGGAAGGTCACAAGTCAAATTGATCTTTAAGTTTCAAGACACTCATTTGTTTCTAGGAGGGAGTATTTTTCTGAGGTTGAGTTAAATTTTAATAGAAAGAAAATAAATGCACCAGAAAGATCTCAGGTGTGAGATAAACCTATTTCATAATGCTATAGATTTGCTCAATCCTCCTTCTGACTTTAAGGGTAATGGATAGACCAGAGCAAAGTGCAGAGTCAAAATAACATCTAGATAAAGTATGTATACTTCAAATAACACATTCAGAGTGAGCATATAATTTCTATCTTCATTCACAATTCAAACAAAGCCTGATGTCAGCTGGGTACTCCAAAGACTGAGTCATGTTCCACATTATTGCATTCCTGGAAAAGTGATTGAGTCTTTTCATAAATTTTTAATTATACCAATCATAGGTTATTTTAGGAAGAAAGAAGGAAAGTGGGTCTCACTACAGAGTCTACTTGCTGTATGAAGACAGGATTTTTTTTTTTAGAGTGAGGTAGGAGAACAGAAGAGAGTAACAGAAGGTACCAATAAGTTGATTAAGTCAAAGGAAGATGGCGTTTGGAGTTATGAAGTTCTGACCTGTAGTTTGTACATTACTAGTATGATTTATTATGATTCCTCTGTTTTAATAGGCATGTAAATTCTAGTGTGAGACTTAGGGCCCCATCTGAGTACACAAATGAATGTAATGTAGGGAAGTCCAACTGTTGTCTCCATTATCTTGATATTTTAGATTGAATTGTCTAAACAATAGATTCTTTTTTTTTTTTTAACTCATTTTGCCAGGAAAGACAAAGCCATACTTAATGCATCAGTAAATTCTATCTGGTATCACCTTTAAGTCATCATAGATTATGATACAAATATGGGAGATTCAAATATGTTAGCATTATTACATATGTAATAACTTTGTGCCAGAGGTCCCATAGTTCTAATTCTCTGGAAACTATTATCCCTCTGAACTCTCTCCTTCAAAGCCCCTATTACTTTAGCTGACCTATATCCCTGGCTCATTCTTAATGCAACAGATCATTTTGCTAAGGAGGCTAAACACTCCAGACTGAGATTTTATTGCATTTCAGTTCTTTGCTAGACTATATAAAGAGCATTTCTTAATGCTAGTTAAGTCATTCAAACCTACCTTGTCTTGCTAGTTGACTTTTTGTAGTTTCCAGAGCTCATCTTAGGACCACACAACTTACACAAGGGTAGAAGCTGAATTTCAGTGTCCTCCATGGTGAAGGTTTTAGTTAAGCATCTGTGCTCTGCTAGCCTGGAGAAATAGGTGAGCAGAAAGCCAACGATATTTTATGCTATTGCCTGAATTTATGTTCTGTTTGCTTTATCAAGGACTGCAACCATTCCCTTTTCTTCAGGATGATATAGTAGGTAACTGCTGTAAATGAATGAAGTAATCACTACTAGGGATCAAACCCAGGGTCTTGCACATGCCTGGAAAGTGCTCCCCTACTGAGCTTATCTCAGACCTTTCCTGTGCATTCTTGTATTGTTGCTATTGATTTTTCTGATTACAAAAGGGAAGAGGAGCAATTTAGAGGAGGAAAGTCTCTAATTTTGAAAATGAGAACTCTTCCTATGATTGTCGCCTCGGCTTTTAAAAATATTTTATTATTTTTATTTTATGCATATGAGTGTGTTGCCTGCATGTAGGTGGGTGTACCCATGTTGTGCAATGCTGGTGGAGGTCAGAAGAGGGCCATCTGATCCCCTGGAACTGGAGTTACAGAGGGCTGTTAGGTGCCATGTGGGTCCTAGGAATCAAACCTGGTTCCTTTGCAAGAGTAGCCAATGCTCTTAACTGCTGAGCCATCTCTCTAGCCCCTATGGCCTTGGTTTTAAGTTGGAGTTTATACATACAGAGATAGGTGTGTGCAAAGTAATGTCAAGGAGGACTCACTGTAAGAGCTTCCTTAGGTAAAGTAAGTGTGAACTGTAATGGAGGATGGGATTTGCTTCTGTTTTCTGCTGAAAAGTATATTGTGAATGCAAATTGGCAGCATCTTTTCAAGACTAAATTGGTTGCACTTAAAATTGGGACACCCACAGAGCTGTATTATCAAAATGGTGAAGTGAGAATTCACTCTGTCTTCAGTCCATCTGAGTAGTCCAGTTGATTTCAGTGCAGGTGCATGTTGATTCACACTGTTTATGTTTTTGTAAAGAGCAATTAGAAGACATAATGTAATTTCTCTAGGTTCTGGTTAGGAGTCCATATGCATCAACTCTTCCCAGGCTTCACACACTACTTAGGGACAAGCCAGTTTTAGTCTTACATGGAAATAATACAAGCCACTCTAGCATGCAGCTGTTCTCTTCTAGTTCTTTTCTGTGTTCATGTGCATTGATTTGAAGTAGGAGAACTCCAGCTTACATGCAGCATCCATCATCACACATAGAAAACAAGGGAATGTTTAGAGTGGTAAGACATCAACAGTTATCTAAGGGTCTAAGTTCTACCCTATGGTTAGACTTGAATTCTTGGCTCCCAGCCACTGTTCTTGTCCATGTCTTGATAGGAATCTTGAAAATATTTTGCTTTTAGCTTCTCATTTGATTTTTATCCTAGAAGGTTTTCTTGTCTTCTTTTCTTTTTTCTTTCCTCATCTTCTCTTTTTCATAATTTGCCTATGACAGTTTGATTTTATATATGAGACTATTTCCCCAAAGAAAAGAGCTTTTCTGCCTTGACATCAGGTTGAGTGTAGGTTCCACTACCTGCGAACGTAGGCAAGATTCTTAATTTCCCATGAAGTAGGAAGCCAGGGGAGGAATGACTGGCCTACTTAAATAGAATTATGCTCAGAAAAAGTCACTGTGGAGACCAATAGACTCAGTGGGAATTCTTTTTAAGGGCATTACCTTAAAGTAACAGGAGAAATAAGACATTTTCTCTGGGTACCTGCTCAATACCTGGGTACCTGCAGTTTTGCTGAGTCCTTCACAAATGTATTTGGACCTTTAATCCTTTACTGTGGTCTTCACTCCACAGATGAGAAAACTGTGATTCAAGGTTGTAAACTGTCATATGTCCAATGTTCAACTTTAGTCACTAGTCTCCCCTGGATCTGAATTCAACCCCAACTCTAAAGTTTATATCCTTTCCCCTTCTGGAGACTATCAAGTACTTTGTAAAATAATGGCTACAAAGTTGATTTCTATTAGCTTGAATTACTTGGAATACTGACTACACATGAAATTGTGAGAAATTTTGAGGGTATTGCTCTCCCTAAGATATAAAGGGCTGAGAAATGTGTATCTTCTGCCACTAATACTCAGAGACTTCTGGCTCTTAAATAAGCTGTAAGGTTTGAGGAAGTTTTATTTGTCAAATGAAAGGGCTATAAAGAAATGGTTTTAAAGTTTTATCAAGCTCCCAAATTTTGATGCTAAGAGGTAAACAGAATACACATAGTATAAGCAGCAGTGCTTCTGACTTGCCACGTCCTCTCCCCTCACCACCCTCATTCTTTTTCCTTTCTTTCCTTCTTTCCTTCCTTTCACAAACATGCAGTAAATACCTCTAATGCATCAGTATGAATGTTAATCACTATTTTCAAGTTCAAGGGAGATATTCACTAGGTAAATTTCCTTTCTTTTTTTTTTTTTTTTTTTTTTTTTTAACTTGGATTTTTTGTGGGTGCGGGGGGACCAATTTTTTATTTCCACCTCTTGGGGGGGAGGGGGGCGCGAATTTCTGGCCTCCACATGCATTGCACTATCTGGGTACACTTACGTACATGCCAGCAATACACTCATATGCATAAAATAAAAAAATAAACTGTCTTTTAAAAATTTGAATTTCGTGCCAGATGCAGTGGCACACATTTTTAATTCCAGCTCTTGGGAGGCAGAGGCAGGCAGATCACTGTGGATTCAAGGCCAGCTTGGTTTACATAAGAAGTTTTAGGCCTGCCTAAAGAACTAAAACAAAAACAAAAATTAAAAAAATAAATTATGGAGTATATTTCCAAGCCTAGGGTATACCACACTTCTTGAAAGGAAGAAATACATTTTCCCATTTAGCATTCTCTTGACTTTCATGAACTCACTATTAAACATATTATACAATTTAAGATACAATTCTGAGTTCTAAACTTAAAAACAAACAAACAAACATGCAAATGAAGACAAGAAGGGAGAAAGCACTTTTAACAAGCTGGGAGCTGGGAGTTGTATTTCCAGTGCACCCATGCTGGTAATAGTCTGAAATCTCAGTTCTCACAAATGCAGAATTCTTACTGTCTCTCCCCTTCCTCCTGTAAAAGCAGGAAATACTTAGAACTAGTTATGTCTCATTTCTACATGTGTATGGAGCACAGAGCTAAAATCTGTTGCAGCAAAGGCGAACTAAACAGGCACATCTACAGGACTGCGTGTTGATGCATTAAAACAAGTGCCCTGAATGTTTTGTTTGCCTTCTTTGTAAGACAATGCCCCAAAGAGCATTAAACACAGAAGAAAAAAAAAAAACCACTCTTAAAGCTAGAATTTTCCAATACCTGAGAATCCTGGATCTATTCTGGTTTACAAACTAAAACCCTAACTTGTTTTGCAGCTTCGTGGAGTTTGATCGGAATGATTCAGTAATGTGGGTTTTAAGAAACAACACAAGCCTCCCAGATCGAGGCCACACAGCACAGCTAGCGCGTTTCTTCTAGATGTCCTCTCAGAAGAGGGTTTCAGTTTACAGGGAGCACCAGCCTGTTAGACCAGGGAGCAAGTTTGCTTTTAACAAGTCAGAGTGATAATCATGATCCTGTGCCCTTTAGTTAATGGTGCGAATTTTATTCCTCAATAGGCTTTTTGTAAACTCGGTGCTCATTTAAAAGCTATCTTATTTTCAGAGCTTTCTCTCTCTTTCTTGGAGATATTTGTTTTCTCTGACTTTGAAATACAGTGAAACCCTTTTATGAAAAATCCCTTCTCTTCAATAGATTTCAGATACACCCAGGTCACATCATGGCCCCTAGAATGTAAGAATTATACAGAAAAGCCTCATAGAGCACTGTTAGCTTTAAGGTCAAGAATAGCCTCCCTCAACTCCAAGGACCACCCCAGTTCCCACGAGGAAGGGTTTTTGTGTTCAATTTTCCTATAATTCTTACTGGCCAACTGCGCAACCTTACAGTTGCTTCCATAGATGAACTCAACTGTTTCTTTCTCCCGTGTAACTTTACCCTGCCTCACCATGCACCAACCAGGGATTTCTTAAAAGTGTTCTCCTAAAATTGACAGGTGGGTGTAACGGAGTATTTTTTGCATTGACTCAACCATCTGTGAGATTGGACTGACTTAAAGGAAAACTTTCTTTTTTAGTCTTCTATCTTTTTAGGTATGAAAGGACATTTATAAGCAGCTTGTTTATGTCAACCACTTCCAAGTACCTTGATGCCACCTCAAAGGAGATATCACCATTTTACAGATGGGATCTAATTAAGGGTTCTGGGACCTGTTCAGAGTCATAAAGCTAGCATATTGGACCAGGGCATTGAACCTGTGCTTTCTAGAGCAGAGCACCTTAATCCTCCATCAGACCACTCTGAAAGGCTGTGTGATTTACTGGGCACCCCCGGCTTTCACTTACTTTTATTGTGCTTTTCCAACTAAAGATGAGGCAGCACCACTAACTGACCATAAAGGAATCTTTGGTAGATCCTTGACAAAGCCTGAAACAACTTACAGTCAGGTCTGACAGTTAGCTACAGGTCCTAAGAGACACTAGATTTCTTTTCATTCTGGGAAATGAGTGGAATCAGTGGTCCTGGCAGCGGAGTCTCCTTCTGCATAAAGGGGAGGTAGGCCTGTTAAGAGGGTAACCTCCATCTCTGGAGTGCAACAGAACTGGGTTCAAATTCCAGATCTGTCATCAGTTTTATATATGGCCTTCAGTGAGTTATTCACCTAACCAGTCCATCTAAGATTTAGTTGCTCATCTGCAAAATAAGAAAAATAATTATATTCCTGCTATCAGACTGCTTTAAGGATTAAAATAACACATGTGCCTGACTTAGGCTGGGGAGTTTAAGTGCTTAGTAAATCTGAGATAACATTATACTCATAGAGTTTGGGTTAATTCATAGACTTGCATTTAAACCATGGCTGGATAGCAATGCCAAGTATCTGCAGATGTCTGTCTGTCTATCTGTCTGTCTAGCTCATCATTTACAGCCACCTATTTTTATTAGGTAGTTTGAACAGTGAGGAAAGTTTCATTTGGCAGTATAGAGAGTCTGTATAGACAATATAACATCTCATTTTAGTAACGCTGTACCAAGCACCCACTGTAGGTTTTTTATAGAAGCTGAATGGTGTGTGTGGGTGTGGGTGTACTGATGTATTGATGTGCTTAAGAAATGGAGTAAGGGTGACTTTTAAAGGCCAATTACTTATAAATAATGTTAAAATTTCAATCACAAGGGAACTAAATAATTGATATTAGAAAAATCTGTGAAGCAAAGCAATTCATGTCTCAAGATAGTGGGAAATATAGTCATGTCAAGCTTATGTTGCTACTAATGTCCATTTTTATTAATAGGAATTATTTTCAGGCAGCCATAGTTTCCATTCCATCTCTGGAACAAATATAGATGACTTTTTTGTCAGAGGTTTTGTTTTGTTCTCTCTCTCTCTTTCTCTGTTTTTCTCTCCTTCTGCTTTAGGTGAACTGATAGATGATTGATTTTGGCAAGGAACAGGTAATTAACCATGTAGAAATCGGCAGACATTATTTTTTGTATTGGCGTGCTTATGTATTATTTTCCACATTTGGACTTGCATTTCACCAGCCATGGAGGTAGAACTGCTTCCTAAGTTGGGATCAATATGTCAATAGGAACTTTTGTAACCAGTTGCAACCTGGAAAGAGGATCTTGGTCACTGAAGTTCATTCTCTAAAATACTAATTTGCACAAATTATGGGATGTGGGAATATTTCATTTGTATGAACAGAAGCAAAAGTAAAATAGATTTAACAAAAGCATGATCATGCATTTCAGAGTAGATCACTCCATGGGAGACTTTTATGGTGAGGGGCTGTGTAGATACCTCATTCAGTGAAAAGTGGAGAAGAATATTCTACTAAAAAATTTGGAAGATGAACCATACAAGAGAAGGAGGTTGTCCAAACATTCTGAATACCTCATCTGCAGTCCAGACTGTTCTAACTTGAAGCATATCCCCTGGTACAACACTTAAAAGAATGTCAGGTAGGAAACTATATGACTTCCTTTTTCGTTTTTGCAGAAAGCAGAAGCCACTGGAGAAAAACGGCCAAGAGGCAGACCTAGGAAATGGGTGAGTGATAAGATGGATTTTCATTCTTAAAAGAAAAAAACTGTCTTTTAAAAAAATTGAAATAAAAAAGTTTATTTCATAGATGACATGAATTTGTAACTTCTAGTTTGATGACTCTTTGAAAGGGTTAAGGCATGTGACCTGAGTTCACTTCTTGCTTACCATTCAGCTCTGGAGTTTACTGCCTTCCTTCCCTAAAGGGAACTCCTGTCTCTTATCGACATCAAAGGACTCTCCACATTTCTGCAAAAAGAATAACAACGAGAGGATTTGTTCATGGGTTGAGTAACTAGGGTTAAAGGTATTATGAAACCTTAGAAGTTGATTACAAATGGTGATAAAATTCAAAGGAACTGTGAATGAGATAATTTTCTAATGTTTTCTCTTACTGGTTTCTTCTGTTTCTCTTTTACTTTTTTTTTTTTTTCTTTTGGGCAAGTTTCATTTTCTAGGTGTTTTGGATTTTCTTTCTCACACTGGCCTCCTCAGGAAGCAGGGGTTTAATTTCCAGTGTTGCTGGCAAACCTCAGTTATCACTCTACACAGGGACAACAGACGCATTGGTACCATGCATGTAAGCTTGGCCTCCTAGCCACACAGATCACAGATTTTTGATTCCATAAAGTCAATGGCCTTTGAGAAGCTTTGCCCATTTGACCACTTGAAGCTTGCACTCTTTTATCACCATGTTACTCCTGGTCCATCTTTCCCACTGACAGAGCAGTAAAGTCTCAATAATAAGTGAAGCTGTTTTTCAGTAGGCACCCTCTGGCCCCAGCATTGTCTGTGATGGATTCTTTGGCTCTCAACCTCCAAACCTCTTCCTTAGTTAATTGTTCATGCTCCACCTTTTAAAGTTTCTTTCCTGCCCTGCTGGGTTGTATTTTTCCTGTTAGTTTACCATCCCTTTCTCCTCGAATTCTGCATCACTTTCTATTTATACTTTGGTATTGCCTTTCACTTAATTTATTCATCTTGTAGGTTTTTTTTTTCCTCTGCTCCACATGTGTTAGGATTGGATTTCTTAACACAAGGAAATGGGGATGATCTCCAGATTAAAAACATCTTAGTGTTGCAGTGTAACCTTAAAGTAAAGGCCTTTATTTAGCCTGCTCTCCTGTAACTGAATTCTCTCCCAACTTACCTACATGGCCATCCTTCAGTCTCTGCCACCTTAAATGTGGGGATTGCACTGCCCCTAGGCTGCCTCTTCATTCCATGAATGCTCAGAACTTAGAAAATCTTTCATCCCACCCCAGAACTTCTCCCCAGGTCTCTGTGCCTACCCCCTGGGAACACTCAAAGTCATTGTTTCCACTTTCACTGATGGTAACCCTTCAAATATTCAAGGACAATGAACACAACCATTTGTTCTCTTTTCAAGTACATTATCTCTAGTCCTTTCACACGTACACCCCACCTATACAACAACATTCTTGTTGTTTTCTGAGCACATCTGTTGTTTTTAATCTTTTGAAATGGTAACCCAGAAATAAGTTATATTCCAGGTGCAGATTCTTATACATTGTTATCTACTGATGCTTAATCAACTTCCTAGGAACATAACAGTCTGAAAAAAACAACCACTTTGTTTTGTTCACCTATTTGGGGCTCAAGAGGAGGAACAGACAGCAGAGCAGAAAGCCTTGGCCCTGGATGAGGATGTCTGAAGTCTCTGCTAGAAGGACTATAGCATTTAGCTCTAAAACTCAGGTCTAGATGTGGAGGCTTCTTAAGGTTTGGAGCTTGGATTGATTGGAAGTCTAGTCATGTCTAGGAGTGTCCAGTGCACTACTCACTTGACGTCTTCAGACCAATGGCCTCAAGGGAATCAGCCTTCTTGTCTGCATTCATGGTTGAGCAACAGAAGAGGAACTCCAAAACCTTTCTGGACTTGGTCCTAGAAGTTGAAAAGTGCCATTGCTATTCTGTGCTGGTTGGAGCACAATGTTGGCTAAATTGCTAGAGGCAAAGAGACCAAATCCAGGTCTGCTATTTCCCAATGGTTGGAACTCTGAAAGGATACCCTGTCCTACTGACTAATCAACAAGAAAAACCTATATACTCTTTCTAATAAGGAACATAAGAAGCAATAGGTGAGATCTTTGAAGTCATAGGATTAATGTAGCTGAAATGAACTAGATTATAAGCAAAATAGAGTGAAAGTTAACCAGTTAATACGGTCTGCCAAGTAACTGCTTTTCACCCCTCCTACTTCTGGGCTGCCCTATAATGTTCTCCAGTTAATCTTCACAGGTCTCCTCAAAAGCTTTCTGGTTAGTGAATTGATTACAACCCACTTCAGTGCTTTGGAGCCCTCCAATCAATACCCGCTACCTCTGTGACTCAAACCACTGTTTCTACCAACGTAGTGTAAAATATAGAGCAATGACAGGGTCTGTATGCTTTTACTCAAGTAATTGTTCCTTATTTGGGGGATGCCTGGATTCTTCATGCTAGGTAAGAAGTACGTGGGCAGCATCTACTGTGGAGATCCCGGCCTTCCTGGGAAGAACTGGGCCATCCTCACTGACTCTCTTGGTTTCTAATTTTTATTGGCTGTGAGAGTGGAAAATTTTGTGTGGTGAATTGTTACAAGTCCCTGATTTGGTCCCCAAAGAAGAGTTGCTCTACTTAAAAGAGGAAATAAAAGGAAATTGCATATTTTTTTCTAGACAACGTGTTTCCTCTTTGCTTGTATATCTTCTGTTGGTGGATGCATAGTCAATCACAGCAAGACATTCTGTTCAATGGCATTCTTTGTTGGAAAGCTTGTATGAAGAAATAAATCACTGAACTTTCCATAGGAAATGGGCTTGATCTTTATAGTAAGTTTAGTTCCTTCCAACAGTGACGTTCCCTGATTTCCTTGATGGAGATATATCTTTGAACTGACTGGATTTACTTGACATATGGTTTAGAGACCAAATTGTTCCCTTTATTCTTATAAGTTGCATTGTTTTAAAGCTCTTTTGTTTTTAAAAGGATATATCCAATATATCATAAAGATCCATGCAAGCTGCCTGGAAAAGAATATCTGTAGATGGAACTGGGGTCAGTAGTTGGGTATTTTAATCAAAATTGTGTAGTTCTAGCAGAGACCCCTGCATCAGTCCTGCTACTGCATTGGCAGCTCCAGTGAGTCCAGGAGTATGTTAAATAGGTTTGGTTAGACTCCTTCACTCTTCAGTATTTCTTTGGTCTTTTCTCCCTCTGGTTTGACTGGATTTCAGACCTATTATTTTGATGGGATTTTTCTGGGTTTGTTGTGTATGTTCACATGCAAGAAAGAAGAAAGAAAAGAGTCTCATTTTCCTGCTGGGTTCTCACTGTTAGGAGCCCAGGATTGGGGTTCAGGTGGCTTGGGTTCAAATTCTGACCCAGTGCTCAGCTATGTCATCTTGAGCAAATTATATGACCATCTCAAGGCCCTGTTTCTTATCTGGAAAAGGTAGATTTCTCCTGGAATTCTTTTGAGCATTGAACGAGAGAGTGTATGCAAAAGCTCAGTATAACTATACGTGGCATATAGTGCTGGGTAAATGTTAGAAATTATGGATAACTCCATGGTACACTTTCACCTTGTTGTCAACTATAGCCTGTGCTGTAATTATCTACAGCCACAAGTACTTACATATGAAGTGACAGTCAAACACCACACATTAAGTTCTCCTGCTGATGCCATGCTTTCCTTATATCTATGTTGAATATTATCAAGTTTAAGAACTGCTTATCGGGGACTGGAGAGATGGTTCAGTGGTTAAAAGCACCGGCTGCTCTTATAGAGGACATGGGTTCAGTTCCCAGTACCCACATGGTAGCTGACCATGGTCTGTAACTCCAGTTTGAGGGAATCCAACACCCTCTTCTGGCTTCTGTGGGCATTGCATGCATGTGGTGCCCTTATGTACATGTAGGCATCATACTCATACACATAAAATAAAAATAAGTACACATTTTAAAAATAATTGCGTATCAATGATACTAAAGTACGTTTTATATCTGTTCACATAAGGAGGAAATTCTACATTGATCCTAAAAGCCTTTCTCCTAATGGTAGAATTGTGTATTGTCTTATTTAAATTGAAAATTTAAGGCTGTTGGCCTTAATGTGAACTTACAGAGATGTGCTGGTTCTCAGAACTTCTGGACCATTTCAGAAGCCAGTCCTCCTGTCTGCTGCATTCAGCAGCAGACATGTCTCTGTATGTCTCCATTTGCCTTGAAAAGGAGCTCATCACATAACTGGTATAGTGATGGAAAATGTACAGATAAGGCTTTAGAGTGCGGCACGCAGGCTCAGGAGTACAACGAGGTAATAAGATGTTCGCCGTACTCGTGAAGTGCTTCATCCAGATGGTGCTTAGGAAGAACACTAGATGAAAAGAGCAGAACCAGACAGCCAAGAGCAGACTGGTGACAGCAAGCAGTGCTTTTAGGTGCTTTGTTTTCAGAGCGTTTTCAGCAGAAGGGAAACACGCCTAGAATGAATTAACGGTTTTTTTAAAAAGAAAAAGAATTACTATTTTGGAGATTCTGAAATTGACCTACAAATTGACCCAAGGACCAGATGCTAAAACATTGGTCACTAGAAAGTTACTAGCAGTCCCAGCTGTTTCCTTGGCTGTTGGTGTTATTTCTTCAATAATGGGATGTATGCGGATGTTAAGTTAAAAATACACATTTCCATTTCACCTCTTCTCTAAGGGCTGTCACTTTTATTAAAGAGCTTGTGATACACAGGAAAGTGACATGATTTTGATTGTTAGTCAAACGTGAGGAATCTAGATTGGACAAAAAGGGTTTTTTGTTTTTCCTACTTTGTAGAATCTAGAAATTTAAGTGATAATTTGAGAATCGAGTAGGCAAAGCTAACTCAGAATAAAATTGACTCTAATCAGACTGACTGAAACTCTGTTTTCTTCTAATGATTCCAAGCATTCCCACATTGAAGAACCTGGAAATCTAATGTTAAAGTAAAGCAATGGATTGGTTTTCAATTTCTTTTCCTCTCCAGATATTTGCTACTTTTTGCAAAATGTGTAGCCATTTGTAATATTAACATTTCCCTTGTTTAAACTGAAATATAACTTCACTGTTTAGAAAGAGATATCCAATAATTCAGATTGTCTTAATTTTGGTCTGGGGTGAGAGGGAGAAGAAATGATTTTAGTATAACAATAAAAAAATGATAGATGGAGTGTATAAAGGTGAAACCATTTTCTCTTAAAAACTTGTAATAATAACATGCTTTATAAAACAGCAGAAATACCATGTTTCCCAGCACTCTCCTGGGCATATACCCAGGGGACTCCATATCCTATGACAGAGATATTTGCATATCCATGTTTATTACGCCTCTATTTATGATAGCAAGGAAGTGGAATCAACCCAAATACCCATCAATAAGTGAATGAATAATTAAAATATAATATATATGTGAAATGGAATATTATTAATCTATAAAGAAAAATGAAATAATTAAACCCACAGGGAAATGAATGGATTTTTGGAAAGTATAATATTGCAAGGTAACACAAACTCAGAAAAAAAAGTTCTTCCAGCTCCTAGCCTATAATGTATTCACGCATATTGTAACCAGGTAGAAATGTGGTCATAGTGTAAAATTTAGAAAGGGGACCAAGAGTGGATGTCGAGGTGTCGGAGGAAGTCGGAATACAGACAGAAGGACACACATCATGAAAGAGGAGACAGAGCTCATTTCTTTTGCTAGTTTCAACTCTGCCACAACTTTTGTATGTGTGGTGGATAAATGATAAAAATGTAATTGCCTGTGAAAGTGTGAAACCGTAAGCAAAGCTCCACAGCTTCAGAATGGCCATTCCAACTGCACAGAAGTTCACTGAGAAGGATAGTCCAAGCCTGAGCAAGAGTTTGAGTGGTTACGTTAATCTAGCTGTGTGATGTTTTTATTTATGAGTTCATTGCAATAAAGTGATTTTATTTAATAATAATAACAACAATAATAATAATAATAAAGAACAGAAAGCGCCATCTTTAAAGTAAATGTATTTTACGTATACCTAGTCATTAAAATACAAATTTCATTTTTTTCAACTTTAAAAAAATTATTGAGAATTTTATGCATGTGTATAAGGTGTTTTGATCAAATCCATGCATGCCCACTCCCTCCCCTCCAACTCCTCCCATATCTCCCCATCACTTTTTTCTGACAACTTCATGTACTCTTTCTTTCTTTTTTTAATGGGGCTTTTTGCTACTCTAACATTCCCCCCTCTGAAGAGGTAACCCTATAATCTTTTAGGGATTAGATAAAAGCTCCCAAATACTTTTGACATAAAATACAAATTTCTAATACACATAGTGCATTATTGATAAGTAATATTTTCTAAAATCATCTGTCTCTTTGCTACATTTGCTATATTTTCTGCTGTGGAGAATTTTCCAAACCCCAACAGAACCCTAAGGGGGAAAAGATGGCATAAGCTTGTTTTGTTTTAGTTCACTAAAATTGTCATTTACAATTTCAAGATGAGGGACTGGAGAGATGGCTCAGCGATTAAGGGCACTGACTGCTCTTGCAGAGGACCTGGGTTCAATTCCCAGAACCCACATGGTGGCTACAAACCGTCCTTGACTCCAGTTCCAGGGGAATCCAACACCCTCTTCTGACCTCCACAGCATTGCACAGCATGGGTGTACCCACATACATGCAGGCAATACACTCATACACATAAAATAAAAATAAAAAATATATATTTTAAAAAACTGCAAGATGAAAAGTTCCACAGATCAATAATGGCATTTGCTCATCTGTGTTTTGATTCAAGATTAATCTCTTGATTACTATTGAAGTGCTAGTTAAAATTATTGTGCCAAATGAAAATTTTAAGAGTTTGACAATCTGCCATTTTGGGTCATCTATGCAGCTTGGCATGGCCAATGTCCTAGACTCCAGCCATTCCCAATTATAAGGGCATTGAACACTGAGGGGTGTTGTGCCAATCCATAAAGTGCCTGGTGAGCTTATTAAACTATAATCAAGGGAGCACATACTTCCTCCTCTATGGTGGACTAGTGAATTGTAGACAGGAGGCAGTTAAGACACACACATGCCCTGCTTCTTTAGACAGCATCATCAACCCTGGCTGAGACTGTTAGCTCATTATCACTTTGAGTGATGGATACTGTGGAATTCAGTCATCATTTAATATAAATTAATATACGTAAGGCATCTTATACAATGTACTCTCCACACCTCCATGCACATATTTACTATTCTTAGATGCATGTGATTGTGGAGGGTAACAAATATTTAAAGTAGAAACCTTCATATTGTATATAAACAGAATCAATATGATGCTTTTTTTGTTGTGGTTGTTTTTCTTTTGAGTTGACATCTCAACTCAAAGCGCACAGAGATCCACAGGTGCCTCTGCCTCCTGAGTGCTGAGATTAAAGTTCTGTGCCACCAGGCTTGGCCATGACACTTATTTTTTGCTCAGAAAATAGGAAAAACTCTTACTGTGTTGTAAGAGAACATTTTTGTTCTATTTTTAAAGGTGAAGTCTGTTTTTTATTTTTATGTTTTCATTTTATGAGTATGGGTGTATTGCCTGCATGTATGTAAGTACACCCATGTCATACAATGCCTGCAGAGGAAAGAGGAGGCTGTTGGATCCCCCGGAACTGGAGTTACTGGATGGTTGTTAGCTGCCATGTGGGTGCTGGGATTCAAATCCTTGTCTTCTCTAAGAACAGCCAGTGTTCTTAACCACTGAACCGTCTCTCTAGCCCTGGTGGATCTGATTTTTTGTTTGTTTGTTTGTTTGTTTGTTTGTTGTCTTTTTTGAGACAGGGTCTCCCTGTAGCCCCGGCTGTCCTGGAACTCGCTATGTAGACCAGGCCAACCTTGAACTCATAGAGATCCCCCTGCCTCTGCCTCCCAAGAGCTGGGATTAAAGGCTTGAGCCACCACACCCAGCGGGATCTGATTTTTAAGTTTATTTTTTTAAATCAGTAGTTCTAAATTATAAACTCTTCAATAGATGACATAAATAATACAACATTTTACATCATTAAATCAACCTTCCCCCATCAATTCCAGTCTGAAACAAGAACCTCTGCATTTCATGAGCTTAATTCCTCTGGCAGGTTGTTTGATTTACTCATGCACTTTCTCACTTTTAGGGACCTGATAGGAACATTGTCTGTGAATAACACCGCCATGCATTACTGGGTGTAAAACATAACGCCCTCTGTGCTATAGCCAGCTCCTTCAGCTCCATCATCCAGGGACTGAAGAGTGAGTTTGTAGACAATGAAGCTCTTTGCTTAACAATCAAAAAAGATCCTTTTGGCATCATAAGGCAGCAAAGACCCTTCTTTGCTTGCTTTCCCTGCCCTTTGGCCATGTTACTGCTCATTAGCACCTCACCAGATAGGGCTGGGGGAGAAGAGGTAGGAATAGCAGTAAGCTCTGGTCAAAGTCTTCAGGGGAATGAGATAGGGCAGCATGGCCAACAAAAGATTTTCACATTATTTGGATTTTCTGTGTCCCAAACTCCGTCCTCCAGAATAGCTGGTACAACAATCACACTGAAAAACTTCAGGTTTTCACACATTGTTTCCTTTCTCATAATAAATATGGTTTTTATATGTTATATAGAAAGTTCCTTTTTAAATATTTTATTTATTATTTTTATTTTATGTGTATGAGTGTTATGCCTGCATGTAGGTAAATGCACCCGTGTCATGCAATGCCCACGGAGGACAGAA